CACTTGATTCCTGATAATATTACAGAATTTTCTTGTAGATCATTCACCTATTTCCAACCATATATTTATCAAACAAAATGGCGTAATCTGCAAGGGGAAAAAAAAAGTTGAATGACTATTCGTTGTCACTTGCCACAATTGACTTCGGATTTTTTGCGGTCTTCATGGGATGTAGTTCTTTTCCTTGAGGCATGGTGATGTAACCAAGGAACGAGAATGAAGCGGGTGAGAGGGAAGAGAAACAAAATAGCTTTATAAAGATCCCTTCCCTTCTATTCCTCTACAGCTTTCGCGGGTACTATTGAAAAGACTAGGTTATCCTTTTGTGCCAATGTGCTTTCCAATTTAACGACTATTCTCCTCCCAGCATTGGTCGTGTAATATTCCTTTCAGATCTCTAGCCACCCAAACATAACTTCCATCAAAATATAAATTCAATGGCTTGAGCTAGACTGATCGGCTCATCAAATTCATGATCGCCACCTTACATCTTATTCAACACGTAATCAAATGTATATGGTAAAATTTTCACGTAATTTGGAGTGTCCTAGAAAATGAATCAAACTACTTTTATATGTTGATTTTTCCTGCAACTTAATAGCCCTCCCTTCTGCACATAACTAAATGATTAAAAATATCAAAACAATATATTTTTTCTATGTACAAAATATGATGAGTACGAATCACGATGGGTAATGCTGATCATAGTTTCGAGCAACCTATAACTCATAATAAATTTTTATGTTTGGTAGTAAGGTGTCTCATTTCCATTTACTATGTAACCTATGTGAATATGGTCCCTCATTTGAACGAGTAGATGATAATGAACCCCTCGCTACCAAGCACAAAAACTTATGCTTGGTATCAAGTTCTTACATATTGCTCACACACACATCATACTCCCTTTAAAAGCACGAGTACGGAAAATCTTTTTTAGATAAATATACCACTTTATAATTTAAACTACCTTATCTATAATCAAATTCTAATTTTCAATGGTCAATATTACCCTTCACTATTTTAAATTTTTTATTTATATCTTAATCTATCCTAATCATAATCATATCTTATCCTAATCCTATGTGAAACATGTTTAGCTTAACAATTTAAAAAACTAATATTAATAAAATATATAAAACATAAAAATGATATTAGTTTGTTAAGATAAAGAAATTACAAGTAGATAACATATTATAATACATGAAGTATTGCAAAAAAACCATAAAAAATTTTAAAATTGCAAAAAAGACCCTAAAAAGTTCAAAATTATAAAAATCATCCCAATGTCTCAAAACTTAAAATAAAAAACATGAAATTAAAAAATTAACATCAATTTGCAAAGAATTTAAAATTTACAGTTAACACCTCAATGTCTCAAAAATTATAAAAACACCCTCAAAAGTTTAAATTACAGACAAGCACATTAAAATTCTAAAATTTTAAAACTTACAAACAACACAGATGAATTCAAGAGATTATCATGATACACCTAAAATTTTTGATATTTAAATTTAAATTTTTTAATTAACACCCTCAATATCTCAAAAATTATAGAAACACATTCAAAAGTTTAAATTATAAAAAGCCACCCTAAAATTCTAAAATTTGTAAATAAAATAAAAAATTTAAATCAACTGAATTTCCAAAACTTAATTGGGGTCTCACAGCTTAATTAGGGCCCATAACTTAATTGAATAAATTAAGTATACCAAAGTGGACCCATGAAAAGCCGAGGCTTAACCATAATGAACACGAAGTTCCCTTAACTTCGAACGCAATGTTCGACCTGAGAACGAACGCGAAGTTCGTTAAAAAATGAACGCAGAGTTCAACCTGAGTACGAACGCAATGTTCGACCTGAGAACGAACGCAAAGTTCGTTTAAAATTGAACGCAGAGTTCATCCTGAGTACGAACGCAAAGTTCGACCTGAGAACGAACGCAAAGTTCGTTTAAAAATGAACGCAGAGTTCAACCTGAGTACGAAACGCAAAGTTCGACCTGAGAACGAACGCAAAGTTCGTTTAAAAATGAACGCAGAGTTCATCCTGAGTACGAACGCAAAGTTCGACCTGAGAACGAACGCAAAGTTCGTTTAAAATTGAACGCAGAGTTCAACCTGAGTACGAACGCAAAGTTCGACCTGAGAACGAACGTAAAGTTCGTTTAAAGTTGAACGCAGAGTTCATCCTGAGTACGAACGCAAAGTTCGACCTGAGAACGAACGCAAAGTTCGTTTAAAAAATGAACGCAGAGTTCAACCTGAGTACGAACGCAAAGTTCGTCCTGAGAACGAACGCAAGGTTCGTTTAAAAAATGAACGCAGAGTTCAGTTTGAGGTAACCACCTCCTTAATTTTCGCCATGAACCCTTAGGGTTTCAAACTGAAACCGCCGCCGACAAACCCAAAAATCTTTGATTTTTATTTTCAAAACAGATCCAGAATTGGAAAAATTGAAGAAAAAATCAAAGAAAAATCCAAAAAATTCCAAAAAGTTATTGTTCACCGGCGATTTTTTAGTTACTGTTCATCCGAAAAAATACTTTACTGTTCACCCGAAAAAAAAAATTCGCTACTGTTCACCGAACATTACTGTTCATCCGAACTCAAAAAAATAATCTTTAACCAGAGATTTAAGATCAAAAACCCAATAAAACTTAAATCCCTAAGAATTAATCAAGGTGGCTCTGATACCACTTGTTAGATCTACATCATAAACTTGAGATCTAAAACCATATAGCCATGATTAATTCAAAGAGATTAACAAGGATCTAAAAGAGCGGAAGCTTATACCTGAATCCATTGCTTGATCTTGAGATGAGTATTGATCTTCTAACCTTAGGGTTCTCTCTAGGCGAATTTCTCTCTTAGATGGGGGTGAAGAGAATTAGAGAATGTAGTAACCCTAGATTAGGGACCATAACCCCTTATTTATAGATGTTGTACTTTTGTAATTTAGCCCCTCAATAAATCACAATTACAACCTGGTATCTGCACATATAACCCCATGACTTATTTAAATACCAAATTAACCCAACTTAATTGATCACTTTAATGGGTTATCCTGAAAGATAGCAATACACATTGATTAATCATATGTGCCCACAAATAGATTTATTAGATTAAATCCAACAAGATTCTCATGATAACCCCACATAATCCAAAATAAATACATCAGGTAATCTAGGTAGATTATACCTCAAAAACATAATATCAGTTGTATCTTTGATTAATGTTACACTGATGATAACTGCAAGAGACATAAAATTATCGTATAATAAGTTTACATCAAATTTAGTCAAGCTTCTATACCCATATGCATACTTAGTCTGAGAACACCTTTATTTTTATTGCTTTGACCCCACACAAATTAGTTTCTAAAGGAATGTTTTTTCTCCAATATTTTAAGAGTTCAATAAGTTTTATCTGGAAAATCATGTTAAATATTAAATTTTGAGGTAGGCTTAAATTTATCAATCTTCGTTCCAGTTAAAGATTAAAAAGCTGGAAAAAAAATCACAACTTCTTGATGATTTTCCGTTTTAGTCATCAAAAAGTTATGAGGTTGATTATGTCTGATAGCCTGTTTACCATTGTTTAAGTCGTTTTTATTATCCGTGTCTTCGCTAAAATTCAAAACTCCGTTTTCATGTAGCCTTCGATGTACCACATTGGGATAACATCATTTGCATCTAAACTCTTAAATACCAAATGACGACTGATGGTAAAATGTAATATTTCCGACGTGCATATTATAGTTATTACTTTATAAAATGAATGGGACTAAAGTTAAATATGAATGGAAATCACAACTTACTTCAAAAATAAATCCCGAACAAAATTCATATTTGAAAATATGTTGTTTAACAGATTTACCTCTATCTGCCGCAGGCACAACAATGTTGTAGGCACAAGACGAGCATGATAAATCCGTCAAACTTCATTTTTTTTAGATGGAAAATTATAGATGAAAGTGGGCTATGCGGTTGTATGTTGAGGGATTGGCCCATAGAGGTGGTATTTTGCAATTTCGGTAAGGGAAAAATTGTAAAATAGACCGTTTTTGCTAATTATTTAGCAAAATAGACCGTTTTGCTAAATAATTAGCTAAATAGATCTCTTTTTGGCCAACAGACCAAAAAAAGGTCTATTTTGCAAAACAGCTCAGCAAACATACGGGACTAGTAGTCTCGTATGTTTTAATCACGGATTAGTAAAATTTTCTACTCAGAAAACATACGGGACTACTAGTCCCGTATGTTTTCTGAGTCACTAATATGTGATTAGTTGGCTCTAAACATACGGGACTAGTAGTCCCGTATGTTTTATGAGCCTTGTTTTTCAAAATCGACATCTTTTTTTCAAAAGATGTCTATTTTGCTAATTATTTTTCAAAGTGGTCTATTTCGCTATATATTTCATAAAAATGGTCTATTTTGCAAATTTTCCCTTTCGGTAATCAAGAGTAGTAACATGAAATAGGGCCTAATTTAAGGGTAGTTCAATGTAAAAGAAAAGAAAAAAAAAACAATCTTAAAAAGACGTTATAGCTATATATCCTTCAGACAAAACCCCCTAAATGGCCAAAACGGAGATTTTGAAATGACCATTTTGCTGGTATATACTTATTTTCAACCCTTATTATCTAAATGGCGTAAACAGAAATTTTGAGATGACCATTTTGCTCATGTATATTTACTTTTCAACCCTTACCATGTAGCTAGTATTGAATCCAGGGATATCTATTTATAGGTGCAAGTCATATGATCACCAAATCTAACTGTGTAAAGAATACAGCTTTTTACAAATGGTTACTATAATACTTTTTAATTTTCTGCAAACAAAATTGACAAAATGAGGAATGCTCTGTTTAGTTTCTGCAGATTGAAATCAACAAAGTATCTAAATGACAGTCACCTATTCCTTAAAGTATAGAACACCCGTGCAAGAAAATTGTATGCAGGCATTGGCTTTCGGATTATGAAAAAAGGATAAATGTATAAAAACAAAACACAAATTCTTGCAAATTAATAGTATTATCATTATAAAGCAACAGTGCCAAAAGTTTATCCAAACGAAAACATAAGGAATTTGACTCATAACCAGTTGCGGTGAATTGAAATACAGGTTCTTTTTTTTCCCCCAGAACAGTTCCTCCGAGCTTGGCCTGACCGGTGAATGATCTGGGGATTCCACAGATTACCTGTGATTAAGCAGCAGGAAAGATCTTCAGTGCTCAACACAAATGATTACTGCATTACATATGTCATTCATAATTTCTTTTACATATTCAAGCATAATTAGATATTCTAGATTTTCAATGTACAAGCTGGATAGAAAAAAACACACCTTTGTCAAACTTATAACTTAAACCACTTCGGCTTTGTCATCTTTTTGCTAACAGGCTTCGGCTCAGGAAGAGCAGGGGTGAGGACCGTAGCAGGTTCTGGTTGAGGACTGGCATCGGCATAGGCATCGGCATTTTGGTCGGGTGTTGGATGCAACTCGTTTAATGATAGGATTGCATCCCGTAGGTAGGGACATAGATTACCATCAGCATCCTCTGCAAATAATACCACAAGGAATGGATATTTAAAACGATAGGAGTAATATCTTTTACCTTCCACAGAAAAGAAAGTGAAAGTGCTATTTTGGTAAAAAGGGATTCTTTCGGTTGGAAACAGTTATTAATAAACTTTATAGGAATGGATACAGCTACGTTTTTCATATTATGACGGTAGTGAAATGTCCCTCTTCATGTTTGGATAAAAATTATGGAAGACTTCAGTCTAGATCACTAAGCCGTAAACATACATAAAAAAGGTTCACAGTATTAAAATCGTTCTAAATACAAAGAGTCATGGCGGGAGATTTCAGCATTGAGGGTCTTCTATTCTTATTGTTCTGAACGACAAATTCCTTCTTGCTCCTATTGTCTTTATTATTCAACATTTGCCAGAGACACAATAAGTTAGGGACAAAAACAAGCTTCACGCTACATGTCCTTCCTTTTACGTATATAACCTGTGGGATTCTATACACAGAATTCAAACATTTAAAAAAAAATCCCAGAGAAGCTTTGACACTGATAAATTTAAACATGCTATTAGCTAAGTTATTTAAGAGATGGATACAGTGATGAGTTCATTTTCACTTTCTCAAACGAGGTAAAGTATAAGATGACAAATAATTTGATCATGCGCTCAGCTTTCTAGTAAAAAGCAAGAATATCCATTTGACCTTTTGCATTGAGTTTGACACAAGGAACATGGCATTCCATACAGTTTATTATTCGTATTCATATTCATGAAACCCAAATCCAATCACATTATTTCCCATTCAACTATTTATTCAATCTTTAGAAATGAAAAAGAATGCGGAGCAGTAATTAACTCTCCCACCCAATTACGGATAGGATCTCTAAGCCATTTGCGCTAAGATCTTGGGCGTCCTCAGGAAACTTTGTTTTATTCTTAGTTACCATCTAATTGGAGCTTTGTATTAGCAGGTGAGCAAGAAACATTTTTACGAAAATAATGGTAGCAAATACCAATCTCAGATTTGATGCAAGGACACTTATCACTCACCAACTAATGTCTATGATCTTCAGCATTCTCTTTTATGATGAATTTGTGTTCTCTAGTTTCAACACTGGTTAAATTATTAAAGGGTCCATCATTTGGAAAATGGGATTGATAATTCCTACAGCTATGAAATTTAGGTTTTGCAACATATTTATCACTAGCTTCTACGATTGCAACATGACACCAAATTACCCTAAGATATGATAATTTGGGAAGCAACAGCTATTAATTTGAAGATGAATCTGGCAGTCGAATGGAAAGGAACACAATTGTAATTGCATATTATTAGATGAAAAAAACAAACAAACAAACAAGGTGGGGAAACTCAGGGTTAACCTTTTGGCAGATCATAGGAAAAGTAAACAATACCCCCAGGAACAAATCCGGCTGAATAGAAATCCTTTGACATGTTTATTAATCGTTCCTTGGGAGGAGTAGTATCTGAAAAATAAGAGAAATTCAAGGCCAATTTCGAATAGGCACAGAACAACAGGTGCAAAAGCCAAACAAAAGTAGAAAATTAAAAGTCTTGTGTGCGCCATACTGAAGATAGCATTTTCATTTCTGTGCTAACGCGCATAATAAGTGAAAGGGTGGAGGGAGAAAATAATTATCATAAGTGTCTGATAACCATCAGAAGACTCTTTACAGTTAATCTGTATGTATATGAATTGGTGATCTCATGCGATCTGGTTCTGAGGATAAAGAGCACAAAGTTTAAGGTGGACAATTTCAAAGAAAAAGGAAGCACTACATTATGGCAGGAATAGCTAAAAGCTCTTTTTACTAAAGACATCATTTATAATAGTTTAGTTGTAAAGTTGGAAAAAGGAAAGGGCCTGCATGCAGACAGAAGGTGCAAATGTAAGGGTATTATCCGCTATAATGTTACGCTTTGATTGCTGAGGTGATATATCAAGGAAGAACCTTGCAAGGTTAAAGAATATGTAGTTATCAAAGCCTTAGCCAAACTCGCTATATCTCGCGAAAGAAATACAGTATTGCACAAACAAGTACTTACCTCTATATTCTGAACGATCACAATACTTTCAATATCATTGTCAGTAAAATCATTGCGCAAAGTAAAACTGAACTAGAGGGATAAAGTGCTTTCTACTATCACTCCTATCATTCGTTTATTGGGATATGTGTTATAAACTGGATAAGAAGGATAACTGTATATTATCAGTTGAATTTTTGGGACACTTATGTTTCCACATATCCGTTGGCAGACCGTGCAAATGGAAGTGCCTTTAGCCAAGCTTATTTGATGCTTTATACTGGAAATAAGTATCAGAAATAATGTGCTACACTGAACATGAGAACTAATGACACATCATAATTAAGACCATTCTGAATTAGAGATCCATGCAATGACTTTAGAATAGGTACGCACTTAGGGTCTATCTCTATGTTGTCTTCTAGAAACATGCCATGTTCCGTCTATCCAATAGTAACCTAAAAAAATTGCGCATTTATTGCAGATAATAAAAAATATCGCAGATTGTATTATAAATGTTCATGAATATGATCCCAAGCAATTCCCCAATACTAAGAACAGGTTCCAAAAAATAATAGATGTTTATTAAAACAATAGAAGTTCATCAGAAGCAGCAAAAAATCACAAGATAACATAGTTACCAGTACTTTTTCTGAAAGACATTAAATATCACCTGTAGATCATAAAAGAAACAACTAAACAATTGTCTCACAGTACTTACATAAGTAGAATGGAAGATCTGGTCGATTAACAACTTTTGTCAGAAAATCCACAAGATTTTGGATTTTCTCTGATGAATGAAAATCTATCTCAAGAATGTAATCATCAGGAAAACGGACTCTAATTGTTGCCTGGAAAAGACAAGGGACCGATAAGTTCCTGTTTAGATATAATGTCGAAATTGCTGCAAAAGAATCGATGCCAAAGGTATGCAATGATAAACTCAGAATGCTCTACAGAATACTTTGGTCTCAGTATTTGTTGACTGAATAATCATAAGAGAAGAGTTTTGGAGAATCTAGTTGTGATCTGATATTTCAAAACTAGCCATTACAGCTACAATTCAACCCTTAAAACAGAAAAGTGAAAGGTGTTTGTGCTGTTTATAAGACAAAATAAAATGTGAATACCTCTGAAAAGTGAAGAAGCTCTATACATAAGCTAAGATAGAGCAGCATAACCAGCAGAGACAAGTTTGAGGACAAAGAGAACAATATTAATAACTAGAATCCCATCAAAAAGTAAACTTTGATAAGTTGATAATATTCAAGCACCAAAATGCAATAACTTGTATTCACTGAGCACCTTGGTTAATTTTTCTCTGCGAGCTGCTGCCTCTGCTTCTCGGATCTTCCTTGTTTTAAGAACTTGAGATTGAGCTGTTAACAGTTAATTCAGCTAATATTACACGTCCAAGAAGATCGACAATAATCTTAATATCAGAACTCACAGTCCCACAAGTACACAAGTATCTTAAATCCATATAACCTAATGCATAACCTTAATCCTGAGAAAAAAATAAAAAGGCTTTAATGCACCATCTTAAACATTACCTCCTATTTTATTTGAGGTCATGTGATAATAATCCTCAGGTGTGAGATCATAAAAATCATCAGTCTCCTCAGCTGCAGAAACTACACAATCAAAATGTGCATGGTCAGAGACAGAAAAAGAGTTTCTCTTTAGTTAAAGACATTCTAAAAGTCTTAAAAGTGACGAAAAATAAGGCAAATCACAAAGGAAAAAAAAGGCAAATTTTCATGCACCAAAGTCATGGATAAATAATTATCTTCACGGAAGATTGAGAATCCTCAAAGCAGCTCTTTGCATACAAAAACTCAGAGAATTTCCGTATATTTTACTTATTGATAAACCAACTCAGTCATAAAACGGTATATTGTACCCAATCACAAACAGCCACATACTCATGTTCATGCCAAGGTTTGTGCAGATGTTCACCTATAGTCCACCCTTACTATTGTGTTAAACACAATAGACATTTACCAGGAGCTCCAATTCACAGAATGTCCGAAGTTTCAAAAATCAGAATATGCAAACTTCACAAGAAAAATACAACTACAGTATATTATCAATAAAAGAGGTGGATACCATTACTGGAAGCAGACGACTCCGGTGATATGGAAACCGATGGGCTTTTAAACACGCGTATTTCCCTCCCAAGTTCTTCTGCAACAGCTGCATGCTGGGCCTGAAAACATTCAAATGGAGCTCAAAGTCACTAACTTGCAATTAACAGCAAAAAACAGTCCAATGCCTATCCTCAATGAGTTTAACAATTCTCGATATACTTGTTATATTTGCATGACGTGGATCAGAAAAGATTGAATTTTTTCGACACTGAATAATCAAAAAATTGATTTTTCTTATTGTGTTCTATTGGGTCAAAAATAAACCAAACCCTACTGCTCAATAATTCAACAACGAGCTTATCCCCAACCAAATACACAGAAAGTGATCCCCTTAAATTGAGGGAAACCCTAGATGCTGCAGAGAAAACGAGGAATTGAGAGAAAAGCAACAAAATTTGAGAGAGAGGAAAAAGATGAGACCTTTGATTTGCTTTCATCGATGGGATCCATAAGTTTCATCCGCTTGAAGGCCATCCTGAAGAGTTCTGGGTCTCGGATACTTGAATTATATATATGGAATATTAATTGAGAAGATAATTCGATGCTCAAACTTTATTAGCATAAATTAATACTAATAATTAACGGAAAACTCCGGTTGGAAAAGGACTTGACAAAGGATAAAAAATACTGATCATTGGAGGGGACCTCCCCATCGGTGAGGTGTTGCTTTTTATGCAATAGGACGGGGACATCTTACATGTCTTCTCCAATTATCTCATATTTTGAATGCTTAAGATATTTTTCTTTGTGAAAATTTAGATTCGTTAAGAAGATACGATAAGAGATTACCTAAGTTTGTTAGAAAATTATTACTTATATTATTTTCTAATTTGTTTGAAAAAAATATTACCATTTAATTTATGGAAGTAGCTAATAAGCCACTTATTTTAAATTTAGTAGTTCAATATCGAGAAAACTAAGAGGTAGGAAAATATTTTCGTTTATTAGGGAATATAAGTTTAAAGAAGGGTAAATCTAAACTAAAGTTCTAAAGAGTGTGAAGGTTTGATACATATAACTCAAAATTTTTGGAACCCTCTCTTTAACCCAACATAACTTTAGAAATTTAGAAAATCGCCAAAATGTTTTGTATTTTTTGGCTTAACCCCTATATGAGCATCTATCCATATTTTGAGTTTCAAACAGAAAATATCACATAAACATCAGCCATTCGGGGTAAAGCGAATAAATCAAAATATGCTAGGGGTTTTTTCGTGAAATTCACAAACTTATTGGCAATTTAATAAGAGCTTCAAATTTCTTGGATGCTAAAGTACAAAACGCTTAAACTCATTGGGGGTCTATCTACCTTAAAAACCGTATAAAAAATCAAGAAAGTAATTAAAAACTATAATTGGAACCTTAATCAACATTGTACGAGAACTTCATATTAGCATACAACAAACAACATTAACCTATCGTCAAAGTCTAGGATCACCCAATGTAATTACAATTAACGATCTCAGAATTACCCATATAGCTATGTAGACTCTAAAGCTACCCACGAAATTAAAAATACAACAAATTTTGAAGTCACCTGTCTAAGTTGCAGTATATCTCACGTGCCGAAATGTAATTAATCCGTTATTTACCATAAGTTTTGTTAAATAACAAATTATTATATGTTGTAAATAATTATGTTTTAATGTCTTCATAAAGATTTGAGTTGTAAATAGCTACGTAATGAATAATGAAAATTTGAGATGATGCTGATTTCCGAAGGTGGAAGAACAAATTGAGCAAGTCCGAGGTGAGAATTGACAATAAAATTTTGTATGAACAATTTCTCAACAATCGTCCATATATTCCTAGTTTTCGACTCTCCAAATGGAAGACAATTCCAATAACGCAGCTCAGGTTTTAGCATAAATGCAAAAGCCTAAATATCAAAAAGAAAGAAAAAAAACGAAACGAAACATAAGTAATCAGACGTCTTAGTTTAATAATTATATCAAATCTTTCAATTGTATACAGGCATTTGAATTCAGAGGTATTTGATACGTAAGACTCTGTAATGCAACAGCGCCAACATGAATTTCTCAGGAAAATTAACAGCCATGATAATCCAAAAAGTTTTTGAGCTTAAAAAAACATAATCCTGATGTTTCTTTGTTTTTGCGAAACAACTATTCATAATCAAAATCCACAGTAATATCAATCCTGAAAAAAATTCAGATGACTCATAAAAATATGCCAAATGTTCCAGCCAAAAATCCTAAGTACAACAAGATTAAAAGAACAAGGCAAACCCTAGAAATCGATAGAGCATTTGGTTCAAAACAGTAAAAGATTTCATCTCCTCTAAGCCCTTGACTTCTTCCTTGACTTGTTCTTGTTAGAGCCCTTAGGCTGCTGCTCTGAACTTGCAGCGTTCTTTCCTTTACTAGAGCCAGCATTACTTTGGCCTGCCTTCTGATTTGAAGAACTCGCAGCATTTGATGCAGCAACAGCATCATGTTTCTCTCTAACAACAGCTCCCTGAGAACCTCTCACTTGCCCTCTCTTATCCTTCCTTCTAGGCCGGTAACTCGATCTCTCCCTCTTCGGCAACCACCTCTCGGGATCCGGTGGAGGTCCTGGATTCGCCGGATCAAACCCTTTCGGATACTTGGGCTTCCTCTTCCTCTTCTTTGCCTTGCCCTTCTTTGCTTCCTCTGATACTTCCATCTTTGTCGTATGTGCACCTTCCACTTGTTTTGCCCCATGAGTCTTCTCTAAAGCTTCGATGTTGATTCCCTTCAGACCCGATAAAGCCCTGAGCTTCTTCTCGTATGATTCCGCCTTTGAAAGGTCGGTGCGTGCTGCTGTCATTACTAGACCCACCAAGGCTTCGATGCTGCCGCCTTGGCTGTTTATGAGCTCTTCGTACAGTTGAGAGGCCTCCTGTTCATGTCCATGGTTGAGGTTGAAAGATGCGGCTTCTTTCACGATGGCATTGAGCTTGTTGTCCTCCGTCATCGAGTTTCTCCACCACTGGATTGCAGAGTCTAGAACGGTGGCAGCTCCGTTTATGTCACCAATTCGCTCTTTTAGAGTAACTAATGTGGCAACAGTAGCAGGCATGTGCTGGATATCGGGTATTCTTGATAAGGACTCGGCAGAGATCTGTGCATGTCCAGCGGCAGCAGCGATTTGAGCACGAGCGAGAAGGACTGGCTTCGATTTCTCAGGGAATTTGACTGCAAATTGTGCTAATATCTCCTCAGCTTTTGGAACTTTCTTTTCTCTCACATGAACAGCAGCCTGAAGAAGAACAGGTGTGACACTGTCCGGGAACATTTCTGGAAGTGCAGATGCAAGCTCTTGGGCCTGAAGACACCCACAGCTATAATCACATGTATACTTAACAAGAAAGATGAGAAAGCACAAAAAATGATCACAATGATTAACAATTGGTAGTGTGTTGTACAGTAAAAAGGGCGCAAAGTCAACTACCAATGACCTCTAATGTCAGATAATAAAATGTAACAGTGGCAAGGGTGAGAATTGTGAAGTATCCAAAGGTATCAGTTTCCAAAATTTGACACAGGAACGTGGCTAAATATTGTGCATCTCCACAGATGTACTATAAAATCAACTTAGATTCTTAAAATAAACTTAGCTTTACTGAGCATGGTATTGAATGGGAAAAGTGACATCGCACTATATAATAAGTCGATATGTTGCTGGATGGAGGATCCTGAAGTGCAAAGTGACAGTGTCTAAGTGCCGGATACATAAAAAACTAAAATATGAGCTACAAGGTAACACTGCATGCTGTCATGTGCTGCATTTACCATTTAACAAAATTATATAATATAAGCTATATTTGTTTTTCTTTTTTCTTTTTTCTTTTTTTTGGATACAGCTTAAGTTACTATTTAGAGTGTAAGTGTTTTCATAATTTGTTGAAAGAACAAATTTTTTAAACAGACCCATTCCAACTTTTTATTTTCAAAACCGACTCTTTTTTTTTTTTTTTACCAAAACCGACCCGATTTTATGATTAGCAGATTAATCACCTTCCTAAATAGTCGGGGTTGGCAACCCCGACTATTTAGGACGGTGTTAAACCCTAATTAGAAGCATTAAACCCTAAAAATTAATGTCCTAAATAGTCGGGGTTGTCAACCCCGACTATTTAGGAAGGTGATTAGTCTGCTAATCACAAAATCGGGTCGGTTTTGGTAAATAAAAAAAAAAAGAGTCGGTTTTGAAAATAAAAAGTTGGAATGGGTCTGTTTAAAAAATTTGTTCTTGTTGAAAACTTCTTCCCTAACTTTCTCCTCCGTACTTTTGAGGAAGGTTCATAGTTCCAGAAATTGTCCATGGAATGAAAAAAGCTTGGCATGCCCATCTCTAGAAAAGAATTTACCAAGGCTCAAGACTAGACGTCAGACTAACTCTGAACCCTCACCAATTGGTAGCTAATTCTTGGTCAAGGTAACTTTAAGAGCAAGGACAGGGCTACGCCATGCAATCTTGATGGCCCGTACATAAAGGTGGGCCTGCCTTTCTACTAATGAAGTTCAAGCTCATAGCAGCAAAAAAAAACATGCTTCAAAGGTCTTACATGGCATTACATTTATCTTGAATACAAATCATATTTTTTTTAAAAGCACGAGTTCGGGAAAAATTTTCAGTAGACAAAAATACCCTTGGAATTCAAATATTAATCTATTAAGTAAGAGTATAAATTGATGAATTCTTATTGGATATACATAGTATGAAGATAATGATACAGTTTAAATTGAAATGTAAATCTAAATGAAATTATTAAATGCTAAATTTATAAATGTCTACAAAATGAAGAGCGTATATGCAAAAAAACAAATAAATTAATAAGACAATAATGTCTGCCCCAAAGGTCGAACCCAGGAATAGCGCAGACCTTAAAATGTACATAATTTGGATGGGATATTTACAAAATCCACCAAACAAATTAAAGAGACAAAAGTCATTCTCAAAATTATAAAAAAAATTAAGGAAAACAAAAATCATACTCCATTTAAAAGCATGAGTACGGAAAAAACTTTTCATAGTCAAAATTACCTTGTACTTTTTAAATATTTAATTTAAATTATAATCTATCTAATCATAGTTATATCCTATCCTAATACCTCATGAATTATCTATAGCTCAATAATTTAAATAAGATTAATAAAATATATGAAACAACTCCGTGGTATCAGTTTATTATATGAATTATTACAAAAAAAACCAAAAAGTTTTAAAAATTAGACAAAATACTCTCAAAAGTTTAAAATTACACAAAATAAAAAGCTGAAGTTTTAAAATTTGGCAAAAAAAAGAGTAATTGTTTGATATTCTTTTATTAAGATATATAAATGTAACTTATAATTTAATGTTACTATCATTTTTCAGAATCTAAAAAAAGTCAAGTTGATGATGGTAAAAAAAATAGCAATAATAACAATTTAAAAATATCCAGCCAAAAAATAAAAATTTTAAAAATATATGATAGATTAAAAATTAATGTTATTGTATAAATTAAAGTAACTGCATATAATTTTATCAATATGTTAGAGCAGCAAAAATACATAAATATCATTAGTTAATAGAAGACTAAATCGCAAAAAACTAATAAAAAACTATAATATAATAGCTTAACATTAATTGATTGTAATTTATAAATATTGATCTCTAATGGTGATAATATTTATAGGGTAAAAAATTATAAAGATTTATGTATGGAGAACTATCAGAAAATTTAGAGATATCATTCAAAAGAATCAAGCAGTTTTCATTTCAAATGGAATTCAAAACGTCCACAAATCACTTCAATTAACATTAGCATATGTTATATTTATCAAAGAAGCACCGACTGAATCCCCTATGAAGAATATATTGAACAACTTTGTTCCAATCAAAGAAACATTCTTCATGGAAGATAAAAGAAAAATTACTGTGTCATGACTCTGCATAAACAAAAAAAATATAAAATCGCTTTTTTTCTTTTTCTTATATAGTATCACGCAGGACTTTGCGTGTGACTTTATTTAGGGTATGACTACTAACGAATGATCAATTCTTAAAGACATGATCAAAGATAATGATGTAATAGCACTATTAGATTTTAAAATCTCTAAATATGAAGGTAATATATTTCATTACTAAAATTCTTATTAAAGACCACTAAATATAAAATTCACCTTATATCTGTCTCAAATTTAAATTTATAGAGCAGATATGCATGTCATCATAAATTGCGTCAATAATATATATCAACTCAAAGATACAACTTACTGAAGAAACAAGAGAATAGTAAGTAAACCAAGAAAACGTCCACATATAACACCGTAAAAAAATATTATATTTTAAAGCTAATATGCAGCACTCTTTCAGAGTAAGCTACCAAGACAAAAGCATCTCCATTAAGGCTCTTTATAAATACAACAGAAATTTAAATTACTAATATATACAACCATTATAACATTCGAAAGAGATATGATCTTAGAAAACCTACTTTAAAATTCATATAATTAAACCTAAGGATAATTTACCAATATACAGACATACTATCGCACCTTCAAGGTAATGATAACTATCATTTATAATACAGTTGAGCAGTGATTCTATGTTTGCAAAGGCTGCAACAAGAAAATGGATAGAGATGTTAATAATAAGTGTCAAAATGATAAATGTTGAAGAATCGTCGATGATGTAGTACTAAGGTTAAGTGATATTCCTTCTTCATGAAATAAATATATTAAAATTAAATATTAATATTATAATCTAAAGCAAATTGACAATGAAAAATATAATGGATTTAGTTCAGAATCTCATGGAAAATGACACAGACAGAGCAAAGGAAACATTATGATACAGCAGAAATTCTTATTGGATGCACAACAGAAAAATTCATTGCAGAGAAAAAAATGATAACTCCTGACCTTATTTAAGTAATAAATTAAAAGCACAAAAAAATTCATCTATATGAAATTAACATTTCTTCTTATTGAAATAGGAAAAATTTGAAGTCCATATTGTCATAATTTTATGTTGAACAAAAGAAATATATTCAACTTCTATGTGAATTTAAACGAGAAGATAAAAGATGAATGAGCCCAAGAAAAGATAGCATGCTCCAGCCTCATATCACAGTCAATGTAAACGATGAAGACACTACTCTAGAATTGTCTAAGAAAAAGATAAAGATGAAGAAGGATTCTCGACTCAATAAAAAATAAAATAGAAGCAATAAAAGATAATGTTTTATGAATTGTTATAGAATAGTTTAACTTTTTTAGTAAAATTTGGAATCTTTAGAAGGAATTTTCATAAACTATTTTTAGTGCTTTCATATGCATATGTGGATGTTGTTATCATACAAAAGTGTACTAGAGTTAGCATTAATCTTTAATTTATGAATTTTTTCGTTAACAATTTTCTTTCATTTTAGCCCACTTTAAATCAATCATCTTGGCTCGTTGGCTTTATTATTCATCTTTCTTTTATAATATAATTTTTTCAAATGTTTTCACTTTCATAACGCTACTTCCTAAGGTCAAGCTCGGTTTCATGCCGATCCAGATGAAATAAAAATTTAAATTGGCTTTAGGTTATATTTATCTCGTGACAATTCAACTATCAACATAAAAATTTAAATTGGGTGTAGCCTATTCAAACAAACATCAAATAAATAAAACATAAAAATTTAAATTGGGTGTAGCCTATTCAAACAAACATCAAATAAATAAATAATCAAAGTGTAATCGAGGAACAAATTTTAGTGTAGCCTATTCAAACAAACATCAAATAAATAAATAATCAAAGTGTAATCGAGGAACAAATTTTAGTAAACCAAAAATACTTAATCATAGTATTTAACCGCGTGCATTGCACATGCATAAAATCTAGTAAGTCTAAAAACTGAAGGAACTCAAGTTCATATATCTAATTCATATTTTGGTATTTGTTGTTGACAATTTTTCCCTTTCTTTGACAAAACATTAAAAGACTGAATGTAAGATTCTACACATATACGGACAAAGGATCTACCATAGATCTTCCCAATAAACAGAATATAATAAGATAACTACAAGAATAATACAAACCCTAATTTTCTGAGCACTTTAAATAATTTTTGCATGGCAGTGCACTCAGTCCAATTGGATTACACAATGCATAATAAGCATTCCACACTCCAGATTAGAGGAGGCATGTGCTTTTTACATTGCATTATCGATCATAGTATAATTGCACTTCTTTAATTATAGGCTAGGACTAGGAGTAACCTGGCAATATTATTTCTGTATATTAAATCCAAAATTACTCAGAGAAGGAAGAACTAAAAACTGAAATAAAAATACGCTAGAAGTTGCTGATATGACAAAACAGTAAGTTTCTATAACAATTCTAGTGTGAAGTGAGAAATATTTAGGAATATGCAGATCCCAAATTCTCAAAAGTAACAAAATTGCCACTTGAACATGATTTTCTGGATAAAGAAAAAAATGTGTAACTAAAAGAAAACGTATGAACCTGATCCAGCTTATTTGCCTGAAGGAGCAGGAGCAAACGGTTACAGTATAAAGCTTCTTTCTGTCTCTGTGATAGCTTAAAATCAAGACTATTGGCAAGCTGGAACTGCCCTGCACCATCGGTTTTCTTTATGTGACGCTCAAGCTTCCTTAAACTATCTGAAGCATCCTTTGTACCCCTCAATGCAATAAGATTATTTGTAGCCACAGCAAGGGATGAGGCGTCAGCAAGGTCACGGGTTATCGTACCCAAATATGACTCCATAGCTTCTTGAGTGTGTCCCAGTAGCTATAAAAAAATTCCGTTTTAAAAGAGAAGATCAACTGAAGGACAAAGTTTAATGTTTTAAAAAAAGAATAAAGAATATAAATTAAGGTGTCATTAACCTGGCGAACATATGCCAGCTGGACTGATATTGGAGCTAGTTCAGTTTCAATCTCATCATCACCATAGTCCTCATCCATCAGTGCTTCCTGGCCAATTCTGACAGAACAATTGTAAAGTTAGCCTTAAGTGAATTGGATCGTCCATCAAATACCAAAATCATTTCTTATCAAGCATACGCATGAATTGAACTGATGAATATTTACTCATAATCTACTTCTCATATACTCCCTGTATGTTGTGTCAGAAAAAGAGATCCTAGCTCCTCCTTTAGAAAAAATTATACAATGAGACTCTTTTCTTTAGAGCTATATCATTGCCACCAATGTAAAGGACTGATAAGCAATGGTTTCTAACTTAAACACCAATCTTAAAAAAAAAAACCCTTAACAACTCATATAAAGCAGTGAAGGATTGAGCAAACACCCTCCTGGGAAAAAGGAAGGAAGGAAAAAAAAGGTGAAGCCCAATTAGAATTATCAACAAGTTCCTTCATAGAACTATCCCAAGAGAAGGTACCGACACTGTAAGCAGGGAATCAAGAAATTTCAGATCTTAACCTATTTTGACAATCCTTTGCAACAAAGAAAATTCATACAATAAGATGTATCAATGAAAGATCTTAAAATAAACTTTCAGCACATGGTACTGATACTCCGATGAATGCATAATCAACTTAATACCCACCTTCTAGCTGAAAGCAATTGTTGTTCAGCATCAGCATATTTTCCTTTTTCAATCAAGGAGCAAGCAGTGTTGTGAGCAAGTTCAAAGCTGCTAGATGCTTTAATTCTGAGAGTATCCATCATTCCTTGAACTTCAGCAGATCTGCCAGCCGCAATCAAAGCAGCAATGATATTTGTCTTTAAATCTAAGGACTCAATCTTGAATTTTTGAAGCTTATCGTAGCTTTCCATGCAAGAATCCATTTTTCCTAAGCGGTAAAAAATTTGCGATTCCAACTGCAGAACCGTAGACGTTCTTTCCTGACCTTCTAACGCCTCAAGTGCTTCTTTCAGCTTGTTTTGCCTATATAGGCAATATGCCTAAATAGGAAATGAAGGAGTAAGTACCCAAAAATATCATATAATTCAAGATGACTTTTGAGTAAAATATGGAGTGCAATTCATGAAGAAAACATAAAATACCGAGCAGGCACATATTATTCGGATGAATAAGAAAGAAAGTCTCGTCCTTTCTATGATAAACTGACTGTCACGATCACATATGCAAAGGACTCAATAGATATTTATAACAAGTTCGACTAGAATATTTGTGGCAGCATTAAACCAGGTTACAGAAGTTAGAAAGGGTAAATTATACTAAACCTCAAGAACTATAGGCATTTTGCAATAAACCCCTAATAACTTTCAAAAATCACACAAGAACTTTCAGTATTTCACAGTAAATCCCCAATAAGTTTCAAAATTCAAAGTTACACTAAACCCCAAATAACTTTTGCAAGAAACCCCAAAGTTGACATTGTTACATCTGACGTGGCCCGTGCAACAAATGTGACTTCAAAAGACCAAAATACACCTTATATTATTAAAAACCCCTTCTATGACCTTTTTATATAATCAATCCTAAAAAAACAGAAATCTCTCATCTTTTGTCATCATTCTCCTCTTGCTCACGCCCACATTGAGGTCCCAAACCTTTTTTTCACTAAAATTGTCCATCAAAATGCCTTTGTATGTTGGTTTTTTGTTTTTATTTATGGGGGGTAATCTGCAACACGCGAAAAATTATCAGCAGTTTTCTGCCATTCCATAAGTTATTCGGGCTTTAGTGTGATTTTGAAAGTTATTGGGGGGGGGTTTACTACAAAATGATGAGAGTTCTTGGGAGTTTAGTGTGATTTTGAAACTTGAAAGTTATTGAGGGTTTACCGCACGCAAAACGCTAAAAGTTCCTGGGCGTTTAGTGCAATTTACCCCAATTAGAAATGTACCACTAACTAGTAACTACTCATTTGACAAGAGTAATACTACAATTCTTCATTACTCAGGAAGGAGAAAGGTCATCCAGCTACTGTAAATCCTGAAGTAAATAGGTGGGTTGTATCATTTGCACGTAATCCCTTAATTACTCGCACTAAATTCCTTAACTTCAAGCTACCCAAATCAGGTACTCATAGCATTTCCGTTTGGATATAGAGCAGTTGCAAAATTTGCACCAAAACTAACTGGCTTTTTCAATAGTTTAGTGGAAAATCGTTAATTTCAGTATGCATTTTAATAAAAAAAATCAGTTTAGCAGGTTTATCATCGTATATTTCAAGATCCAAGTCTTTCTCACTTCCGCAATTTAAATTAACCAAAAATTAACATCAAGCTGCTTGTAATTAAAAAAACTACAAGATTTAACAAAAAATGCTACCTTATAGAAACTGAGATCGATCGGCAGGGATTTGAACCTCTGAATCTCCTCAAGCGCCTTATCGATCAAATCCTTCTTGATCAAAGCCACCACTTTACATCTCACAGCATCTTCATCCCCGGGAGCAACCGCAAGAACTGAAAACCCCAATAAAAAAATATTTACTTAACATCTTAAGTCGATCCATGAACATGTCGATCGAAAAAAGGAGAATTGACCTTGATCTGCGGCCTTGGCGGCCTGATCGTACTCGAAGTTCTGGACGTGACGGTGGAGATTAGAGAATAGATCCTCGATTGGAATCGATGGAGCGGCGGCGGATTTGGCCGCCGGCGAGGGTTTGGGCTTCGCTTTGGGCGCCATTGAATTTGGACCAAATATCTCTCTCTCTTTGGGAGGAGAGATGCGTTAGGGTGGAAGACGAGACAGGGTTCCCTTATTTAGGAGTTAGCACGTTCGGGTCGGGTTCGAAAATCCTTTGCTTAAATGGGATCCGATAATCAAAAGTTTCGGAATCGGATCCGATATTGCGGATTCGGATCGGTCCGGGTCAGATTTGGATTTGAAACAAGACCCAAATTTGAAAAACCAGAAAATCTTAGCTGATGTTTATAATTCTGGTCTACATACGACATGCACGATCTGAAGGGAACTCATGCTAATTACATGCAAATAACGCAACGGAAGACTATATGTATAATTATACTAAACATGTAGAAAGCATGAAATACAAAATAAGATCATCCTAATTAAATCTAACATGATCCCTATATTAAAGAGAGCACATAAGAGTTAGAAAGTCATACTTTCGAAGCGTGATTCGATGGAAGATCGAATAATCCCTAGCTCTTGCTCCTTGTAGTAGTAAATCTCCTCGTAGTGGATCTCCAAGTCTTCAAGTGAGCTTGATTAGTAAATCTCCTCGTAGTGGATCTCCAAGTCTTCAAGTGAGCTTGATAAAATCGGAGTCTTCTTGAGATACAAGGCAAGATACGTAGTGGATCTCCAAGTCTTCAAGTGAGCTTGATAAAATCGGAGTCTTCTTGAGATACAAGGCAAGATATCCACCCTGGAGTACTATAAAATCCTACTACTTCCTCTTACTCAAAGAGTGCTAGAGTTTAGTAAGAGGTAGAGCTCTCTTTTATTCTCTTATGAAAAAAACCACTTAGCCAATTTTTCATTAACCTCTCCATAAAAGAGAGAGAGCTCATATATATAGAGTGAGATATGTCATGACTCATCTCATGAGTCATGCCATGAGTCATCTAAATGTAATGATTCCTTTCATGAGTCATGTAATGACTCATCTCATGAGTCATGCAAAGAATCATGAAGAATCAAAACTATGTGCTAAATCATGTTCTCAAACCATACCACCTTAATGACTCATCTCATGACTCATTAATCAAGGTATAATAAAGTGTGTATTTCATAAATGAAAATACCACATCAATACAGTATTTCATAAATACGGCATTTCGTAATTTTTCAATCATTGATTAATAAGTTATCATATGACCAAAAAATCAATGAGTTGACCAAAAGTCAACTGTTGACCAAAAGTTAATTGTTGACCAAAAGTCAACTGTTGACCAAAAAGTCACATAGTTGACTAAAAGTTGATTTTATAGGAAAAATACTGGAATTCAATTTCTAATCACATAGCATTCTGATTTTACCGAAATGCATAACCGTTTATGTGTATCTGGTAAAATCATATATGCGTATCAATCATACGCATCACTCTACAAATTGTGTTTCATAGGATTCAAGTACGCGCTTGGTGTGACTCTAGGGCCCAACTTAAGAACTCGGTGGTGGATGATACCCACAAGTACAACAGAGGTGCTAGCTACACATGAAGACTACCCTGGTATAAGTTGTGATAAATGTCTGCAAGATGCTAACACAATTTTATCAGGACCACTCAGTGATAATATTGTACAGTCCGGTCTCTTCGTCAAACCATGTCAAACTATCGAGCCTAGGGTATGGAAAACTGTCAAACCCTAATAGCTCAATTAGTGTTTGTTGATATTAAACTCATAACCTATAAGATCAAACTGACACTCAGTTTATCTTATTTACCTCGGCCAAGGATTTCATGGTTATAGTTATATCAAACAATCTTATGAAATCAACCCCCTATACTGAGAGAGACGAATCCCATCTTGGCATCTCAATATCTACTATGTCTCCGGATGCACCCAACAAGAACCGTTATGCACAACTCATTGAGAACTGTGGTTAGGTAAAAGTCTAAGTACACCTATACTGACATGTAAGATATTACACTCATGCCTCAGGTCAAGAGACTACTTATGTACTATATCACTTGAGAACTTCTATTTGACAGTTAAGTATAATTACCAACTAGATGTCCTCAGTGAGTCGTTCAGTCAACTCATTCACTAATGAGTCGTTCAGTCAACTCATTCACTAATGAGTCACATGTATACTATATCATGATGTCTCACATCAATGATCTAAGAGATGGATCATCATCCTACCAAAGGAGAAATAGAGTATACACTAGTCTTCCCAAAGTGATGATGTCACATTTCAACACTTCATCGACTAGGAATATTTAAGAATATACGTTAACGACAAATCAGATCTCTTCATTACGATTATATCCGAAATGTCTGATAGTCTAGTATCATTCTAAGGACTATATATGTATTTAAAAAATACCAGATAAATACTGACCAAAATAGCATACTATCATTTTGAACAAGGATGTTATATTCATATAGGTCCTGTTACAATATACAATTATTGCATGCAGGGCACCTATATCTAACACGATCAAGAAGTAATAACTAAAATGGCTATTTAATGCAAATTATAATTTGTATAAAAATAAATCCTTTTTTAGGGGGTTAGTCAAAAGAACTCAAAACTAGAACTATGCTAATTT